CTGCCTGCATCTCTGCACCCGCATGCTGGCGGGCACAGGCTTTTCCCGCTATGCCTTGAAGACAGTGGTGATGCACCTCCTCACCACCACACCCCTGTCAGGCTGGCGCAGCACACATTTCCTGCAGCGGCTGAGTGACATCACGAGGTACCTGTGCCTCAGGAGAAGAATCGCCTCAACCACTTCTTCTTTGATTGCTGGAGTCCCCAGGAAGATGAGCCTGTGTACCGTTTGCTCATGCGTATTATGAAAAGAATCCTCACAGAGATGGCGGTCAAGCAGTGGAACAAAGTCCCCAAAGGAAACGGTGATGTCCCCAAGCCTGTTGGCATTCCATTAGCAAATGGACAATGCTCTTAGATACATGAGAGGGATGGGTAGTGAACGGAGATAAATCTAGTTGGCAGCTTGTAATGTGTGGGGTTTGTTCATGAAGAAGTTTGGGGGGAGGGAGGCTCTCTGTGGCTGTCGTTATGTGAAACAATACTCCTTTTTGACTCTGTAACTGTTGTACTCTGTAAGTAATGGGGGGGAGGTCAGTTGTATTGTTGCACAGGATTGTGAGAGAGAAAAGGGGGCTGGGTGGCTCAAAGCGGTGTCTTGTTGCAACGCTGGAGGGGTGGGGAGGGCGCTGCGACGGTGAGGAGGCTCCAGTGGACGCTTCTGGAAGCCTCTGGGAGCTTCTGGAAACTTCCCGAAACTTCTCGGTAATGAGACCCCTGCAACAATGGGAACGAGCCATGTCAACATCCGAGTGAGGAGGGGCGACAGGATTGGCTGGGGCCTTGAACCGAAAAAGAAAGGACCACCTCCGAGGGACCGCGTGTGCGCGTCTTGGGCGGAGCGGAGGACTCCCCGGTGCACCCAGCGCTGTTTTAGCTGCTATCGCTTACTCAGTTTAATAAAATTTATACTTTAAACCAAAATTGGCTACAATATTGATAACAAGCTGGTTAAAAGTGGTGCTCGCCAGGGCACGGTGTTGGGGTTGTGCCCAGTTATGTTTAATATCCTTATTAATGAGCTGGATGAGGGGATCGAGTGCAGCATCGGCAAGTTTGTGTTCTCACCCTGCATCGCGGCCCTGGCTGCGAGCACCTTGGGCAGGGCACGCCGCTGCTGCCACCGGGCACGGGCACCACAGCAGACCTCCCACGCCTGGCCCCGGCCCTGAGGCGAGCGCTCACCCGCCCGCCGGCTGCCCTCCTCAACGGCCGCGCCGCGCTCCCTGCGAGGATTTTCCCCGCTGAGGGAGGGGCCGCCCCTGCTGGCTCCGCCCCCTGTGAGTCCCTGCTCGCGTCAGCTGAGCTGCCGCCTCCTGGGCAGGTCCTGTGGTGGGGTTGAGGCTCCCTCGGTGGCTCTCACCGCTCATAAGCTGACGCTCCCGGACGGTGAGCTTCATTCCACCTGCTCAGGTGTTGAAGGCGTCCTCTCTGGGGCTGCTCACCTCAGTAAATGTTGCTCACCTCGGCAACGTATGTGTGCAATCAAGTACAAAGCGGAGCGTCAAAACTAAGTTCACCCAATTCCCTTGATTTCTGAGGTGTCTTAAATGAGAGCTGTTTTTTGGAGCACGCATCTTCTACGGCTTTTGATAATACTGGATCCAAAGGTACCCTTCTTGGGTACCGATGATTCTACAGTGCAGTGTGCTGATAAAGAAAAAACAGGCAATTGCTTGATTTCACAATGTTTTATAGCAGTAACAATTTCCCATTCCCACACACAGATCACAGCCTCTAATCAGAGACTTCTCCCATCAAAGAGAAGGAGGGAGGGTTGTTGACCAGCCCATGTTGCTCCACCGCAGCAGATGCACAAGCTAGAATAGCCTTGAGCCTAGTGACAATGTGTATGCTTGTCAGAGCCCTCATTAAACCTGATATCACACTTTATCACTGAGGATCTGGCACTGGAGAGGAAAACATGTTCAGACAACTGGCATTGTGATCTTTTCTATACTTACATATTGAAGATCTCCTTGGGATATATTCACCAGGAAAACAGAGGAGACTCATCATTTTCACAGCTGCCCCTTGTTGTCTGCACTAGAGATGCCATGGCTTAGTGGACTGCCAGGGACATTTGGTGTTTGGGTCATATGGCAGCAAGAGCCAGATGTGCAACTGCATGTGGTAACAGCCCCTTGGCTCCAGCAACGGCAGCCATCACCCCTATGTACTTAGTGCAATCAATCTCTCAGTGTACCTGAGTCCAGCTAAGAAGTTGTGCTGACATTTGCCTTGTGTGGTGTTCAGTTCAGCTTTAGTTGACTAAGTCTTCAACATGCCTCTGAAGTGTGAGAAATGGTCTCTAGATAAAACTTTTCTTCTAAAAGCTCAGGGTAGATACAGCAGTGAAACAGCTATTTATTAATGTTTTTGCAAAAACGGGTGTCCTAGCAAGTAGGCACACACATCAAAGGCAGAACTTTGATATGCATTTCCTATCCTGTCCTCAACTTCCCTCCCTTGATTCCACATTGGTTGGGTACTCCAAGGTTTACAGCCTATCCAAAGCATATAATCTACATCCTAACTGTCACCTTCTGTTTACATCTTCCCTTACTCGGTTTTGTATGCCCCTTTGTCTTAGTTATTTATCTCCTTTTATGGTTCAATTTCATGACTCTCTAGCAGACATATGGTACCCCAACTTACTGTTTAACTACAGAACCAGTTTGCACTGCCTTAGTTTCATAGGTTATACAAAGATAGCATTTTTTTTCAACCACAGAATGTGTCGGTTGCCCAAACATGATATTGTCTTTAACTACAGAGTGTGTCTGTTTAAGTCATGGTATTTCAAACCCTTTTTTTGGTTCCCTTAGTAACGTAGCCCCAGCCCCAATATTGCAAAGCCTTAAGATTACAAAGCCTTAATATTGCAAAGATCCATCCTCAGTATGGGGAAACAACATTATTTCTCTCACATGAAGTATTCTAGAGACCTCTTTTCTTGACAGGCACTTCATTCCTGGCAGGCAGATCACTTCTGCAATGGCAAGTGTTTTGTTAATCAAACCAGAAAAATATTTGCTATCTCAAAAAAAGTCAATGCTAGACGTATTTTTTGTTTATGGAATTAATATTGATCACACCTGCACTGGTATAACCCCAATAACATGGCTTGATATACCTACAGTTTTAAGTTAAATTTGGTTCATATTTTCTGTCATTTCCCTGGTCTTTTTTGATCAGGCGTTGAGAAAAGGGACAACATTTGAATTGATCTTAATATGCAGCATGCCCATTTATCTCACTGGTGGCCTGTGAACTTTAAATATACTCTTCATATAACTGTGGTTGCCCCATGCAAATGCCATCTGCAGCTGTACTTTAAAGCAACCTCCACCATATGCATCTTTTGGTGTAGAGATTTCACCACATTTGCAATTAATGTCTTATCACAAATGAAAACATCTTTGCTGATGTGCAATATGGAGTGCAATATGGGGTGTTAGAAAAAGTAGTGGTGCTGGTATCTCTGGTTAAGAGCTCCAGGCTGCAGTGAGACAGACCTTCTCTCTGGAAGAGCTCTGTCTTTTGTGCCTTGGATTCACCTCTCCTCTGCGAAGGATGTGGTCTGCCTGGCAACTTCCACTTCTGGCCCCGATACGGTCTGGTCATCTGGGAAGCTGCTGTGAACTCTTCTCTCAAAGGATACACACCTGCTGCTTTGTGTTTGGACTGCAAAATTTCTGTAAGAGATAAGAACTGATAAGAGAATTAGTACCAAATGAAACTCCCAGGCCCTTCCCTACCTGGAGTATTTTGTAATCCATGTTCCCAACTGGGCAAGCCAAAACCCATGGGCCTGCCCTAGTATGGGTAAGGCACTCTGTCTCAGCTGAGCAAGAACAGCACATGGCAGAGCATGAGGGAGGGAGAGATGCAGGTCTTTGGAGCAGCCATGCCAACAGCTGTCATCTGCCAATAAGCACAAGACCTGAAGTCCCAGGAGATGCCAGGATAGTGGCACTGGGCTCGTGGGCTGTCTGTCCCCTGAGATACTCCTAGGCCATGGCCCTGTGAGCCCACAGTAGCACAGGGCCAACACCCGCCCCTCTTGGCATGGGTCCACTGAGTAAGGTGGGTTCCTGTCCCAGGGGGTAGGTGGCTCCTGAGCCCTAAAGGTGCTCCCTGCCTGCCTCCCTGCTCGAGCTGCAGCCCCACACCAGATAGGGAGCACAGGGTCCCCATGGGACTCCACCTTGCAGTTCCTGCTGCTGCAGGAGACCTGTGTCCACGTGCCCTGTCATGAACAGGAGCTGGAGTAGAGGAGACTGGAGAGGCGCTCTGTGCCATACCCTGCCATGCTGCCCCACTGCTATCCCAATGCAGCTGCCACAGGGGTGGCCTTTCTGCTGGCAGCAGTCCATGGGGGTGGCAGGAGCAAGCTGCTAAAATGCTCCCAGACTGTGGTGCCAATTGTCTGCAGGTCTGCATGCAGCAAAGCAATAACCTCTTCTGAAGGGATCATGCAGTTCAGCCAAGTTTGGGAGAGGAAAGGCAGAGCCTGTGAGAGAAGCTCAAGGAGGAGAGCTGCATCTGGGTCCAGACCTGCAAGGACAGTCACCAGGATGCCTGTTTAGAGACCTGCTACCACAGCAGATAAGTGCAGTGTTTGTTAACGTGCCTGGGCAGCATTACCACCCTTTGGAGATGCTTCCACAAAGTCAGAGGACTGGTGTGCCAATACCACCCTGCCATGGGCACTGAGAGGGCTGCAGCCAGCGGTGGCTCCAGGCAGCCTTGATATCTCCCATCACTGCATGGGCCCACACAGCTCCTGCCCTAATTCTGCTTCGCCTGTGTGTGTGAAGCTGCACTGGTAGGAGAAGCCTCATCTTGAATGCAGAGACAGTGAAGGCATCAACACAGGAGCCATGTGGCAGGTGGCAGGTGACAGGCTCCCTGTGCCGGGCCGGCTCCCGTGGCTGGCAGAGGCGGCTGCCCTGGCCCAGGCCCGCACGGAGCCCTGTGATAGGCCTCCCCCTGCGATGGCCTCCCCCTGCAGCCTCTCCTCGGCGGCCCCCTCCATCCGCCTCTCGCCCGCCACCTGTAGCCTCTTCGACGAGCCGCTGGCCATCGCCGTGCAGGGCCTGGGCCCGCGGCAGCCGATCACGCTGCGGGCGTCCTTGCGGGACGAGACGGGCAAGCTCTTCCAGACCTGCGCCCGCTACCAAGCCGGCTACGACAGGGAGCTGGACCTCGCCCGCTGCCCCGCTCTGCCGGGAGGCAGCTTCTGCGGCCTGGAGCCCATGGGGCTGCTCTGGGCTTTGCAGCCCCAGAAGCCCTTCTGGCGGCTGGTGAAGCGGAACGTGCAGACCCCCTTCGTCCTGGAGCTGGACGTGTTTGATGGACACGGGGACCCTCCCGGGCAGCTCCTGGCCCAGGCACAGCACGAGCGGGCGTGCCTTCAGGATGGGGTGTGCAGAGTCCCGGTCCGAGAGGGGAGGATTCGGGCAACGCTTTTCCTGCCTCCTGGTGAGTACTGGCCATGGCCGTCCTGTTCTCTAAACAGGGACTCTTCACCAGAGACTGTAGTAATGGGACAAGGAGGGATGGTTTCAAACTTGAACAGGGGAGATTTAGCTGGGATGTAAGGAAGAAGGTGAGGCACTGGAACAAGCTGCCCAAGGAAATTGTGAATGCTCCATCCCTAGCAGTGTTCAAGGCCAGGTTGGATGGGGCCTTGAGCAACCTGGTCTATTGGAAGGTGTTGGAGGGCTGGAACTCAATGATCTTAAGGTCTTTCCAACACTAACCATTCTATGATTCTAAGAAACCAACATTCTGTCCAGGCAAGCTGTTCCATAACCTCTGTAGAGGAGTCCATGAAAGCCTGTCCTTTCTTCCCCTACTCCCACCTGCCTGCACCACTGACCAACCTAACATTCCCAATCCACCTGCCTGTGTGGATGCCAGGACATGACTGCAGAAAGCAGGCAGAGGAATAACCCTTCTTGCCCAGAGCTTGAAGTTTATAAACATGGAGAAAAGCACAGCAAGTCAAAGTGAGTGTGCCAGGAGGGCTGCTAGAGACTAAAAGCTAGAGAAGAGAGTGGGCGAGAGGGACTCTGTGCCTGTCCTGGGCAGTCCTCCTCAATGGGAGGGTTTTGGGGATCCTCCTTCTCCCCCAGCACAGCAGCAACTAACTATATGGTCCACTGTGTTGGGGTCCCTGTGGACATCATCAGTTTGTGAAAGGGGAAGGAGCAGGGACTCAAGAACATTTACAGGGATGAAACCTTTCCAGCAGGAAAAGACAATCATTTAATTGCTCTGGAAAAGGTGCAGAGCACCTTTCTGAAGTGTAAGCATTGCCCAAGATGCCACCAGCCTGCACCATCTTCTGGGCAGCTACATGTAGACTTCCCTGCCAGAGTACAGGGTGTGGGAGGGTTGATTCCACACCTCAGCATTTCACCCACAGCAGGGCCAGGGCTCCCTGCCTCACCTCTGCCCCATCTGCTGAATAGGAGGTGGAAGAAGCCATCTTCATACTTTTTTTTTTTTTTTTGTATCCAAACTGTCCTGCTTCCCTGAAGCTGAGAGTCCCTCTGCTCCAGCAAGCCCGATGCTAGTGCATCTCCTCAGTGTCCCCCAGCACACTCCTTTTGTGTATGTTCTAAAATGATAGGCCCTTGCTGCACCACACCCTGGTGCTTTGAATTGTTTCCTATGCACAGGACAGAAAGAGTTTATTCTCATCCTGCTGCCACCACAGCCAATCTTCATCTTAGCAGGACTGTAAGCTTGGTCTGTAGGCAGTACTTCTGTTGCACAGCTGGAGAAGTGTTTTGCCACCATTCAAATTGTTCTGCACTGAGATACCCTCATTGTGAGTTTTGGTTCCTGAGAGCCCTCTCTGTGCCATACATCTCCACGTTAAGATTCAGGAGTTGGATACTCCTCAGCAAACCACCTAGGGCCACATAGTGATAGACAGCTCAAAGGATTTTTGCTATAGTACTGTCCCACCTCCCTTGAGCACTCCCATGGCCTTATTCAGCACCTTTTCTGTGCATGTTCAGTGCAAGCCCACAGTGTCCTGCTATGCTCAGCTGAACCATGGGCTACAGACAACTGCGCTTCTGGCCTCTGTACACAGCTACTGCTCTGAATGCTCAGAGTCTCTGGAGAACCAGCAGATGTGCTGTTGCCTGCATGCAAACAGCAGCTGAAGGAAGTGCACAGCACTGCTTGGGATGGTAAGTCTCTCCCTGGCCCAAGGCAGAGAGCAAGCAGGTGCTGTGTGTTCCCCTCTTCTCCATGATCCCCAGCAGCATGTCCCCACCTTCCACCTGCAGCCCTATTTGAGAATGCACAGACTACCATGGTGCAGGGCAGGACACCCCTGAACAGTTGAGAGACATGGCCACGCTCAGGCCTGTGGCTCTCCTGAAGCCAAGAGTAGGGGTGAGCTGGGTCTTACATACTCCTCAACATGGCTAGGGACACTCTTTCTGGCCTGGGGAGCTTCCTTGGGCCCTACAGCCCCAAAACCCATTGGACTATAGTAATGCAACATGCAGAGCACTCTCTTCCCTTGCACTGGGTGGTCAGGAGCAGGATTTTCACAGGATGAGAAAAAAAAGGATGCTGGGCCAAAAGTGAAAGATCCAAACAACAATTTTCCCATCACCCAGTGAGATACCCATGGCATCCTGTGCAGAATTTGATAGTGATCACAGCCAGAGACATGACCCCAAAGAGCTGGTTTGGTGGATTCCACTTAACACTTTTCAAGGGATCCCAGATGTTCAACAGCCACAATACCAACACAAATGCTTACAGTTTCTATTTGAAAATATTACATCTATTAAATCATGATACCTTGAAGATTTTTACATTGCTATATGAAGTGATCATTGGTACAAGGCTGCTTACAGGGAGAAGTTGGCCTTCACCAGTCTCTGTCTGTTGGCCCTAAGCTCAATGCAAAAATACTGCTGATTCCTGAAACAAATAAGGGTTTGGACCTTACCCAAGAGGTACTTCTGCTCCTGAGCCTTTTTTCCTCTGCAACATACTCTAAGGTTTTTTCAGCTGCTGGCATCACATACCTGAGTCACTGATTGTGTCCTTTCCCCCAAAAAGATGCTTTACTGCAGTTCCTGTTGTATACCTCGTTTTATGCCTTCTAAACCAGAAAAACTGAGAGGAATTATTTTAGGCAATACTCTTTGTCTTGTCTGCTCCAGGAGAAGAACTCTTTCCAGGGGTCATCAACATACATGGATACACAGGAGGAGATCTTTTTGACCACAGAGCCGGCCTGCTGGCCAACCACAGCTTTGCCACATGGGCCCTGGCTTATTACCAATAAGAGGAGCTGCCCCAGGAGCCAACTGAAATCCACATGGAATATTTTGAAGAGGCACTGAATTATATGCTGCAGCACCCACAGGTAGGATCACCCTCTATGTCCCTTGGGCTCCAGGGAGCACTTCTCCAAAGTGTCTGTCAATTTGCCTGAGTTACCTCTGGAGGAAGCTGCTGAAATACTCGCCTGGAGTGGCTGGCATCTGCCAGGAGTTTGAGTGTCTGAGTTCTAGGAAAGAAGAAAGGTCAAACAGGTACACAATGGAAGGGTGGTGGAGAGAGATCACAAAGAAACCTCCCAAGAGGCAGCTAAGACATAACAAAGCAGGAAGGCTGTGCAGGAGGGAGCCTTCATGAATTGCCACCAATCTCCTCCTACAGTTTCAAAAATGAAAAGTAAAGAGCATCTGCCAGTGTCTTAAGACTGATAACTTTTAGCTCTGTCCTACAACCTATATTCAAATCAGTAAAATCATGTTCCCCCTCTCTTGCCTGATGTCAGTGCAGCAGGGAACATTACCAAAGACAGCAGTTTGAAGAGGGTGAGGTGCTTGGTACTTGTCCAGAAGAAACACTAATCATTGCCATCACCTCCTTCATGGTGTTTTGTGCAAACTCTTATCATTATACAATGTTCTTCTCCAGGAATTAGCTGCTGTGTTTTTCAGCTCGGTACTAATGAGGATTTGTGCCTCTCTACCAGGTGAAGGCATCAGGGGTTGGCCTGCTCAGTTACTCCAAAGGAGCTGATCTGTGTCTCACCATGGCCGCCTTCCTCAAGAACATCACTGTCGTTGGTTCCCTCAATGGCTCTATGGCCATTACAATTGTTCCTCTGTGTTACAAAGATAAAACCATCCCTGTTTTGGTCATCGATGAACAACAGGTCAAGGTCATTGATTCCAATATTCTTGATTTAACTGACATCTTCATGAGCCCCTTTCAAGCCTCTGGCAACCAAAGCCTGATCCCACTAGAGAAAGCTGAGGCACAGTTACTATTCATTGTGTGACAAGATGACCAGTTTTCTAAAAGTGTCTATTGTGCTACTGAAGTCTGCAAGCTTCTGCAGGCAAGGGAAGGAAAACTTTAAGATTCAATCCTACCCTGGAACAGGGCATTGCATTGACGCTCCCTTTTTCCCTTTGTCCCCCATAGGAAACCATCCCATTCTTCACAAGCAGGCAGTCATGGGTGGGGAGCCTGGGGCTCATTCCAGAGCCCAGCTTCATGCCTGGCCACAGATCCAGGCTTTTTTTCCACAAATACTTAAATGACAACTGATGTGCAAAAAAAAAAGAACATGCAAGCAACACACAACTTGGAACAACCAGATCTGCTAAATTCTTTCACATTTATCAGGTCAAACCTTGTTCACAGCTGTATCAGTACAACTACAGTATCTTCCATGACTTTGCACATCCATAACTCAGAAAAGAACTGGGTTTGCTTTTTCAGTTTTCCCTGAACTTTTGTTGCTCAAGGAATGGATGATAGATTTGCATTAGCCTTGATAAAACAGATCATATGCACAGCTAAATTTCTCAGGTGATTTCTATTTTTCTAATACTGGACAGTACTTTGCATATCACTCTGGTCTCTACATACATACATACATACTTGGGTGACATGGGTTAGTGAGGTGTCCCTGCCCATGGCAGGGGGGGTGGAACTAGATGATCTCAAGGTCCTTTCCAACCCTAACTATTCTATGATTCTATACACTATCCTCAGCTCGTACTTTGAAGCAACACCTCTCAAATGCTGAATTTTGGAGTAGGGATTTCACCACTCTTATGGTGACTACCTCATTGCAAATGGAAATATCTCTAATCTTTATGCTGCTGGAAGTGTGTAAGAATGGGTGCTATACCAAGATGCCAGGATATCTCTAGTTAACCCTCAGGAAGGTTAGTTTGCCCTCTATGCCTTCTTTCCATCTTCCCCTCAGAAGGAAGTGCTCTGGCCCCAAAATGTCATGTAAATAGCCATTCTGATAAATTTACATCCATTGTGATTTTCCTCCACCCAATATGGAACTTTTTCAGCTTTGTTACTAGGGTGAGAATTGTAATAAAGAGACCAAGATTTGAAAGCCATGTTGTTATTTGCTGTGCTTTGGTTAGAAGCAGGGAAATTTGCATCTTGACCATTCTCATTCCAGGGTGGAACCTGCAGGAGCTTGGGAGCTGACACATAGCCCCCTTACCTTCACTGTCTTAGGGCACCAAGTGTGGAGGAGTGGTGTTGCTTAAGCCTTCAGGGCCCTTTCCCTGAGCATCTGCTCCAGCATAAGGTGATCAAATCAATCTGGTGATCAAATCCAGTGCTGCAAGCCAAGAAGTGTTGTTCTCAATAACAGAAGTTGCCATACATGAGGGCTGGGTACCAGACAACATACCCAAGTGGTAGATGCCAAAGTACCCCACCTGTTTAGGAGAAGCAGGGCAATCTCCACAGTGAGGGAAAGACTGTTGAAACTACCCAATACCTCTGATCACTTAGTATTTCAAAGTAGGACAATGCTGAGAATTCCCTCAGATGCTTCCACTTGTTTCACACCACTAAGTCAGACACGGGGAGCTCTGAGCAAGAGGTACCTCTACTTGCATATCCCAGGAACAGTCAGAGAGCATGAGGAAGCAGTTCTCCCTTTGCAGGTCTCTTTGGAGCAAATACCCAGCTCTGGGTACGACGGACAGAATGACTGCCTTTTAAAACCCTTGTACAATCCATTAGTGAAAGAGTCAGACGCTTCCTGACCTAAAATGTATGTGAAGGCATCCCTCCCTCATCCCTCTAGCACTCCTGACCATCCTCCCAGTTCCTATGGCTGTGCTGGTGCCAGGGCTGGGCAGAGCCTGGTGGGCAAGCCCTTCCCTGTTGTGGGTTAATGTGTGCTGTAGTCTCTTGCAGGAAATGGCCCCTTTCCAGGCATTATTGACTTGTGCAGAGTTGGAGGAGGACTCCTAGAATAGAGTATGCCTGCTGGCCAACTAGGGCTTTACTGTGCTGGCTCTGGCTTACTATGGCTATGAAGATCTTCCCAAACAGATGAAGGAACTCCACCTGGAATATTTTGAAGAAGCCGTAAACTATTTTTACAACACACCCAGGTTGGTTTGCTCATTGACACTGTCACTAGAGGGAACTCGTTAGTCAGGTCCTGTCAGACTGCAGGTGCGGCAGAGCTGCTGTACTTAAAATAGCACCTTCATTCAAGTTGGCTGTAATTAATTTGTTTTATATCTTTAACTCCCATTACAATGGTTCTCTAGTAGATTATTCCAATTCTTCCTTTTGAACTGGCCAGGTGACACAGTGACACATAGGTCACATACTGATAATTTCTGCTTCATTCAACCCAGTGTCATAACCAGGGTGGTAGTTGTCTGGAGGCTTACTGGACTTCCAGTTCTGCAACTCCTTCCAGGTAGCTGTGCATGACAGTAACTAGAATTGCACAAGGCAACACCTGGTTTCTCTGTAGGCCTTGAAATAAACACCTTCCTTGACCTCAGAAAGATGAGCAGTTGTTAAAGGTCTTGGTTGCTTTTCAGTTACCCTAACCCTAAATGTTTGTGCCACCTGTCTGCCCAAAAAACTCTGAAAAATGCTTCCCACGTATCCTTTTATCCCTGAGAGCATTACCGTAGCCTTCCATTAACACCTCCACTCATACCCTCACCATATTTTTAACATGTTGCAAAGTTTCAGCTATGTTTTCTAATTTCTCCCTTCCCATGTCTCAGTCAGTAGGTTTAGAGCCTATTAGGCTGGTGATAAGGTACAGAAGGTATTAAATTGTAATGCTGTCTCAGAGCCCGCTATACCCCTAAGGGTTTTTGTATATTGGAGCAGTTGTGATATTAGCTAACCTCCTTCCAGTATCCTTAGAACACTTCAGCAGCCTGTAAGATCATTTAGTCATGGAGGTAACCTATCCTAGACTGACTCCAGAGGACTGTACAATTCGCTTAGAAAAATGGGCTTATTAGGTTATATTTTTTTTAAGATACATTTTAATTAGTAATTACCTCACATACTTCCCCTTTCACTGTGAGTTAGACACCAAGCATACTAGACAAACAGGAGAGGGCTGATGTGGAGTCTGCTATTCCATTTTAGCTTCTTAATAGGGGACTCAAAGGCAGTGGTTGAATATAAGAAATATTCATATAAATATTATCATAATGGATGACAGTATCATAGTCATTGCTGATGCTGTTTTGCACTGATAGGAAGTATTTGTAGAAGAGGCCTCCTGTGCACCTTCCCCCTTCTCCCCTGAATTGCCGTATAAGAGAAGTGAATCTGGGGCTGCACATTGTATGCTTTTTACAAGCACAGCTGTACCCTCTGCATACGCTTCAGCACTGAGCCTTGTAGATTCATTGGGGTAATGCTGCAGTCTCAGCAGGGCTTATGATCATAAATCAAGCACAGAACAGTGCTCCAGGGTCCCTCAGACATAGGTGCTGCACACAGGACTTAGATGCCTGTACCTGGGGTTCCAGATTCAGGACAGACATGGCTGTGGACATGGCAACATTTTAAAGAAGTGGTTGTGGTTTCTCTTCTCTCCCTTCCAGGTTAAAGGCCCAGGGATTGGGTTGCTTGGAATTTCCAAAGGGGGCAAACTGTGTATCTCCATGGTCTCCTTCCTAAAGGGTATCACAGCCACTGCCCTTATAAACGGCTCAGTGGCAAATATGGGCGCAGTGCTCTGCTACAAGGACATCACCATTCCACCCCTCGGTTTCAGTCCAGAATGTGTCAAGATCAGCAAGTCTGGGATTGCTGATGTTGTCGAACAACCCACTAGAAGGGCCTGACCACCAAAGCTTCATCCCTTTGGAGAAGGCTGAGTGTCGTTTCTTGTTCATTGTTGGCCAGGATGATCACAACTGGAAAAGTGAATTCTTTGCAGTTGAGGGGAGCAAACGTTTGCAAGCTCACGGGAAGGAAAAGCCTGAGATAGTCTGCTATCCGGGAGCAGGGCACTACATTGAACCCCCTTTTTTCCCAATGTGTGCAGCCTCAATGCACCAGCTGGTTGGCAAGCCTGTGATTTGGAGAGGAGAGCCCAAGGCACACTGTGAGGCACAGGTAGACGCTTGGCAGCAGATCCAAGCTTTCTTCTGCAAACACCTCATGGGCAAGCCATCTGGAACATCTAGTAAGCTGTGATATGACTTAGGTTACTTTAGAGAGGAAAAGTCTGGTGTTTCAAATTTGTTTTGTTATATGCCTCTGAATGAGAACAAAGAACATCAGAGAATAAGTTGTTGGGTTTCTTGGGGGATGATAGTAAGTGAAGGCACGAGGGCTGCTTTCTTTTAACACCCTCCTCTAACATCATTTAGAGGTCTTAGTGCCATGCTATGTGTAGTATGGGATTACAAACTGTAGAAAAATGATGGTGGTAAGGTTGGATCTGCTTTGAATGTTAATTTCACTGGAAGGTAACTTACTCAAGCTGAGAACTGGGATGAGAATTTGCCTTGGTTTTCTTAGAAGAAACATTATGTTTGCCATTGTCCTTACCAGAGCTCTAGTTTTTCTGGAAGCAGCTATTCTGTCTTCCGGCCTCCACTAATCTTTCTCCCTGTGCACATTGTTGCTCCTTCCTCTTCTCCCGTATCACTGAGATGCATCTGCCTTAACACTTAGTATCTAGTATTTCATTCACCAAAAGAAGCAATACTGTGCCTGCATCTTCAGAGAATACATCTCCCATTTATAGCCAACAACATTCCATAGCCTAATGTGATGTTCTGCCACATGAACTAGAAATCAGACATTTATACAGTTTTGGAAGGTTCATAAGCATGAAGAAACAACAGAATTGGACCCATTAGCAGCTATACATGGAGCTGCTGGTGGGTATCTGTGGGGGTTGGAATGTATCAAAGCTGTGAGAGACCATGGGAAGGAGGAACTACAGCAGGCAATTAAGCGTGACCTGTCCCTGACTGGTACCTGGAAGACGCTGGAGCTGGCAAGGAACAAGGACGTCGGAACTGGAAAGAGGATGTCGATAAGAAAATCAGATGTACCTTTCACGTGATGTAACCGCAAGGCAAACACAGATGTGCTTGGCTAATTGCTTGGAAGTATATAAATATGACGTAATCTGTTCAATAAACAATCCGGCTTGCACTCTACCTCTGGGTCCATGCCTCCTTCCTCACAGGTATCTCCTCAGCAAGGCTGTATATCCCTGCGCAGGTCCACAGCACTGCTGGAAGGGTCGTTTCTCCCTGCTTGTATATTCCCTTTATGCCTCCACAGCTGCCTGCTTGGAAGCGCTGATAAAAATAGCAAGTCCGTGAAGCTGGCATGGCAGCTCCACAAGGCAGCTTTGCCTTGCCATGGAGTAGCGCCATGCAGGCAGGTTTGTGGCCCTGCGTCGCGTCTCCGTCCCGCCAGGCCACACAGGCCACATTCCCTGAGGAATGGGGACCAGCCGAACGCTTCTCAACCCCTGCCTAGGGATACCCCGTAACTCCTGGCACCCGAGTGCGAGGCTGAGGCGAGAAGCACTTGACTGTCGCTCGTGGGGTGCCGGTGCGTTGCGTTGTTGGATAGAAGTCAGGTTTTAACGCGTCAGTGCCGAGGTGGGTGGATGTGGTCTGGGCTGCTGTTCGTGTTGAGGTGAATTCTGCAGGTATGTTTATGCTGTTTGCGTTCCCTGTATTTGTAACGGATTAAAACCAAACGTTAGCCAGCGGCTCGCTGCTCAGGATGGACTGGGGGAGGCTCCGGGGGGCGGGAATGGCCGCGGGTGGGGATCGACCTCTCCCGCCCCGGCTCCGGGCGGGAGGGCCGGGGGCTCTGCTATCGATTGAGGCCGTCTGGACGGGGCGGCGGCAGCGCTACCGTTTCTGCCGTTGGCGCAGGGCTGCCGCCTAGCTGCCGCCATCATGTGGAGAGCTGTCGCTGTCGCGTCGACCCCGGTGCGGGCCTTGTTCCGCGCCCCTCGGCGACCGGCCGTAAGCATGGCCGTGTCCCCCGCCGCCGCGCTGGCGGACGAGCGGGTGGAGACACGGGTTGCGGGGCTGGGCCCGGGGCAGCCGGTGACCCTGCGGGCTGTGGCAGCGGATGAGCGCGGATGCCTCTTCCAGTCGTGCGCGCACTATCGGGCGGACGGCCGCGGCGAGCTGCACCTGGGCACGGACGCTTCGCAGGGCGGGGACTACACCGGCGTGGAGCCCATGGGGCTCTTCTGGAGCCTCTCCCCCGCCGGCATGGAGAGGCCTTACCAGCGGCTCGTTCCCCGCAGCACCGGCACCCCGATGAAGGTGGAGATGCTGGTGCACCAGGGCCATAGCCAGCCCGGCGCCTTCCCCGGGCCCGTGGTGGCCAAGGCCGAGGTGGAGAGGTGGTTTACGGCCCCCGGCGTGCGGAGGATCCGGCTGAAGGAGGGAAGAGTAAGGGGTTCTCTCTTCCTGCCGCCGGGTGAGTGCCCGGCCGGAGACCTTCATCCTGCGGCTGACGGGCCCCTGCTGTCTCTGGTCAGAGCAAGGAAAGTCTTTAAAAGAAACATATGCAAAGGGTATCACCCGGGAAATCCATATTCCGTAAGAGAGCTGAACGCCACCCTTTAGACAGGGCTTTTTTTCCTTGAAATCTGGCGGAGACGTTTCCGAAGGCTTCTCGCGACGCGTCCCGGCCCGGGTGTTGCACGGCCACACTGCCTGGTCCTCACCGGCAGCGCCGAGGAGGGCAGGCAGGGGCAGATGGCTCTTACGGGACAGAAGCTAAATGAGAATGGAGTTGTGAGTGTACAACGTAGCTGCTCTTGGTCTGTGTTTTTTCAGTAGGTTTGGTGTTTGCTCTGGATTTGCCAGAATCTGTAACACTGAAAAAATCTAATACCCTTCATTGTGTGAACCTGTGCTAAATCTCCCAAGGATTTTACCCTGAGCATGATCAAATTGAAAAGGCATTTTTCTTCCATGTGAAACACATGCCAGTAAGCAGAACAGTGGAAGAGATTCAAGAAAATACAAGTATTCCTCCTCTGTTACACCAGAGCCAAAGCTAAGTTAATAGTTGAGCTACTTCAGTTGTACTATGGTATAAAGGCAAAATAGATTTCTGAGCAAGTTCTACCTGTTCTGCTTGTGGGATGGTTGTGCTTTATGAGGTGTGATATTCTGATGGACTGGCAGTGCTGCTGGAAAATGAAACTTTACACTGATGATGGTGTGTGTATGCATAAGCCATGATTTAAACTTCTTGTATTTCCCTGAGTGTCATGCTACTAGAACTGCCCTCCCTATTGCCTCTAATTTGTAGCAGCTCTGTTAAGCAAATCCTGTGAATATCACTACAGTTATTAGGGATTTAAGTATTAGGGAATTATCTCCAAACCAATAATCTTTTTATCCATTTAGATAAGGATCCAGAGTCCACTGAAGAGGGGAGGAAAAAAAAAAAAGCAACAACAGAGATTGAACTTTGAATTTTGGTTCAAATGTTTAATCGGCATGCTGGGCTTTTCATCACCGAGATGTGGTTGTTTTGATATATCCTCCCTTAGAAGATGACCTGGATTTCTGCTGAGCTCAGCGGGAATCCAGAGATCTGAAAGATGGAACTGCATTTTTCCCTTCAGAAAGTGTAGTGTTGCAATAGCATGGCAAAATCTGGAATCATTGCTTAAGTGATACTGGCGCCCTTCTTGATGGAGGATCCAGTTACAGCATTGCTACCACACCTTTCTTTGCTCCTGGAATGGGAAAATGTTAATATTACTCAGATAGGAATGTTAAATGTGAACCAGTTTTAGTAAAAGTGAGATGACGTGAGAGGGCTTACGCTGTACTTTTGATATGAAAGAGGTTTCTCAATTCAGGCATAAGAGTTACAGAAAGGTTTTCTTTGTTTTTAAGCAATAGTAAAGTTGACTAGCCCATTTATTCTTTCTTTTGATGAGCTATGCAGAAACTGTATACTTGGGCATGTGTGGGCAGTCCAAGATCCTTGTGTAAGTTAAAGGTTGTCTTCATGAGAGAGAAGTACATTCATGCTTGACTGTGTTCCGATCACATGCTTGCTAGAAAGCTTTCCAGGTAGGGATGATAAATGAATGCACACTTTTTTTTCCTAGCCATCTAGGCTGACTGTTGTTAACTAAAGGTTACTGCTGATCATGGCATTATGATAAATTTATCCAGGCATATTTTCTCTCGAGTAGAATATTGAACTTCTGTGGAAAGTTACAGAACTGAAAGAAAAGGAGCCCAAAAGCATGTTTAAGTCCTTCTCTGACTTCCTAAGGCTTTAAGTTAGAAGATTTCCACCATCTAGTATGTCTCGTCCAAAACTTCCTTTTCTTAATCACCTTGAAAAGCCAGAGGGTCTTGCCTTTGTTGCACATAGGCAGTGCCAAAGTTAATGCATTCTTACTCAAGCATGTACTTTTTCTGCCAATATAATTGTAGCAAGCTGGATCCGTGCACATTGGTGGTGACATCTGGTGGCCAGGGGTCTTTCTTAGTTCCAACAGGTAGTGTAGTATCCTTAGCCTTTTAACTCAAGATCTGCTGGCATGGCATACAGTAATATCACAACACAATCTTGGCTGCAAAACCATGTTCATTTCAAGTTGTGGTTCTGATTGTTTCTGTAGGTTTGTGGGACTGATTGTACATGTCTGCACATATTTATCTGTGTATCAGTCACGCACACATAACCATACCCATACAGCTTTCTTCACATCTGCAGTAGCAGTTCTGCTGCCAAATGTTACAGTGCTGATGTTGAGATAGAGATATTAAGCCCAGTTGATTTCCTAGAGGAACAGGTGTCTCTTTCCTGTGCTTTGCTCAATGCACTTTATTCCAGAGTTTGTGTAAGTTTTGTAGGATTTACTTCCAGGGCTTAATGCTCTTGCCTCATTAGTAATGAGCTTGCATTTTGCTAATTAAGGTATGACTTCTTTGTGGGGAAAAGAGATGATTCAGGGTCTGATTGTTCTGAGGGAGGTAGGTTAAGACCACTGGAAAACGCATTTAAAAAAAAACCCAAGTTTAACTGTTCATGTATTTCTTACAGGAAGGTAAGAACGTGTTCATAGTTTGAAAAAGGCTGAAGTGGGCTACAGCACTGGTTCTCTTATGTGTACTGTGCAAATGGAAAAGTAATGAGTATTAACAGAAAATCTCTTAAGCCATCCATATTTTGTTGTTCACTCTTCACCAGATAGTTTTCAGTGTATCGTTTGATAACTTGTCCTCTATACCCCTTCTTTTTAATATAGGGGATGGCCCCTTTCCAGGAGTGATCGACATGTATGGGGATGAAGGAGGTTTGGTTGAATTTAGATCCAGTCTCCTGGCTACCCGTGGCTTTGCTGCTCTTTCTCTGCCGTATTTTGACTTTGAAGATCTGCCTAAGGTCATGAAAGAATTCCAGCTTGAGTACTTTGAGGAGGCAGCTAGATTCCTACAGCGTCACCCCAAGGTGAGTGGAATGAGACACCTCAGTACAAGGGAGGATTCAGCAGTTACACCCAAGTGGTGGCAGTAGTGGTTTTGGAGTGTCAGTTTCTGCTGGGAAGGTTTAGGCCAAATAATGGAAAAAGTGTAGGTCCTGTGTAGGTTGATATGCATATGACTGCAGAGTGACTTCTAGCATGAGCTGGATATAAATTCATGCTGGAAACTAGATTTCTGATCATTAGAACATTCAAAAGGAGCGTGACCAGCAGGTTGAAGGAGGTGATCCTGCCCCTCTACTCTGCTCTCGTGAGACCTCACCTGGAGTATTGTGTACAGTTCTGGTGTCCTCAACATAAAAAGGACATGCAGCTGTTGGAACAAGTCCAGAGGAGGGCCACGAGGATGATCAGGGGGCTGGAGCACCTCCTGTATGAAGATAGGCTGAGGAAGTTGGGGCTTTTCCACCTGGAGAAGAGAAGGCTGCGTGGAGACCTCATAGCAGCCTTCAGTATCTGAAGGAGGCCCATAAGGATGCTGGGGAGGGACTCTTCATTAGGGACTGTAGTGACAGGACAAGGGGTAACAGGTTAAAACTTAAACAGGGGAAGTTTAGATTGGATATAAGGAGGAAGTTCTTTACTGTAAGGGTGGTGAGGCACTGGATTGGGTTGCCCAGGGAGGTTGTGAATGCTCCATCCCTGGCAGTGTTCAAGGCCAGGTTGGACAGAGCCTTGGGTGACATGGTTTGGAACTTGATGGTCTTAAGATCCTTTACAACCTTAACTATTCTGTGATTCTATGAAGTGCTGGAATAGCGTCTAAACAGGAGCAGTGGTGATAAAAGATTATTTAATTATTTTTTAAAATGAAAGCAGTTTAAGAGAAGATGGTACAAAGCTGTGCAATAGTCAGCAAAGGAATGGATTTGATGGCTTGGGATGTTGTTTTCAGGTTTACTTTCTGGGCTAGGAAAGGACAAGACTGAAAATTACTTATCCTTCAAATGTCATTTGTGAGGTTACTTTGTTTGCCTGAGACATGTGCTTGATTTTCCTGCTGCCTGTTTTAGGAAAAAGAGAAAATAGCATCAAAATAAGCAGTTAGGACTAGGTGAGGTCCAAATGATGGTATTTCTTGTGTCTGTGTTGTTTTATGGGATTTGCCAGCTCTTGTTGTCTCTGAAAAACAAGACACTAAACAGAGAGAGGAGCCAGGGTCCAGGCTGTAGCTTTCCCACAGGTCACATCAATAAGTAACCTATTTTTCAATTTTTTTTTAATAATACAACTCCAAAGGCATTTAATGGCTAAACCCATTATAATTTACACTTCCTTTATTCCTTTCTTCCCCTATTCCCCATCCCCTATCTTACCTGAAGGTGAAGGGACCAGGAGTTGGAGTGATTGGGACTGGGAAAGGGGCAGAATTAGCACTCTCCATGATCACCTTCCTGCCTGAAGTAGTGGCTGCTGTCTGTATCTCCGGCTGTAGTTCAAACACAGTTGCAGACCTCCATTATGGTGAGATGACTCTGCCTGGGCTGCGTTTCGATATGAAAAAGGTCAGTGTTTCTGACAATGGTGTATTTGACATTTTTGAAGCTCTGGATGACCCAACAAATCCTGCCAATTCTCCTTGCACGATCCCCATTGAAAAAGCAGAAGGTCACTTTCTCTTGGTGGTAGGGGAAGATGATCGTATGTGGAAGAGCTCCTTATATGCTGAGCTGGCAATTGGGCGTCTACGCCAGCATGGAAAAGAAAACTTTAAACTCCTGAGTTATCCAGGAGCTGGTCACCGAATTGATCCTCCCTCTACTCCATTTTGTCAGGTAGCTATGGATCGTGTCCTGGGCGTGCCTGTTCTGGGGGGTGGAGAGAGCAAAGCACATGCCCATGCACAGGAACACTCCTGGGGAAAGATTCAGGAGTTTTTGCGCTTGCATTTGGGATGAACACTTAACCACCTGCAAACTGTGGCAGAACTGCAGAGGACTGAGCTTGAGCCAACAAAATGACTGGTGAATTGGAGGGACTGACTGAGAAAAGCTTTGAAATGTGAAACAACCAAATGACTACTTAGCTACAAGCATAAATCCAAAAAGAAAGGGATTTCTTTGGGCTAGTTTAAGTTATTTTAACTGGGTACACAGAGATAAAGTGAAACAATGATAAATTGCACTGTAGTACAAATTTGACAGCCTGAATTGGTCATGATGTCAAGAAACAAGTACCTTTTTGCTTGCAGTATTTATGACTCGGAATTTAACAGCTAGCCTACACTCTCAGCAATTACAGACTGGATCACACATCAGAAATGATGGCACTGAATGATAAACTTTGCCATCAAAATGATGAATGATTCGGGCTTTTGGTCTTAAGTTACCTTAGCCCAGAACTCTCACATTACAGCCGTACACACTTTGGAAATGTTCCCTATATACATGAAGCTGGGGATATCTATTTATAAGGAGGCTAGTATACCTTGATCTTAGGTAGTGGTCTTCTGGTGACACCATCTGTTTCCAACAAAAACTCTAGTGTGGGAAAATGAAGAGAACTTCTTCTGTCATCCAGGGAGAATGGCAACACTAGCACTGTCTTGGATTAGGGATGTAACCATGTGTTCCTCTTATGTCTTGGACTGGCGTTTGACACTCAGTATTCAAATGCTGTTGTATAGGTTAAAGTATGGTTAAATTAGTTATGCTGCGTGCAGGTCTTAAATCTCTCCTCATTGCTTGTTTCAAACTAATAACACCTGTCATTTAGTTAGGGATTAATTACTTGTGGGACTCATTAGTTATGGTGTCAATGGATGCTGACAGTTGTTCTTAGGAAGGAAGTGGAGTTGAGAGAAAACCTAGTTAATAGAAGATTTAAGACTGACTGTAAAAAGCTGTCACCTTATGGCAATGATTAACTTATAATACTTAAAACCACAAACCGACACACTCCTCTGTCCCCATCATCCCTCCCCCCCCCCAAAAGAAAAAAAACCCAGACAAACCCAGGATATCTTTTCCGTGACTGCCTGAGATTGCTGAAGGTGGGATTTTTAATCCTAATGAATTTTTGGCTAGTGCCTGATTTTTCCCCACCATTTAGGCAGAAGGAAGCAACTTACTCCCAGATGAGTTGATCTCTCACAGGGGTCTCTCTGGAGTGGTGCCAGCATTGAAGGCCTGTTTAAGGAGGGCCTCTGTCAGTACAATTTCTCCTTCCAAGGTCATTTTGTCAGACCAGTTTGAGAGGAATATACAAAACCTTCATCTGAGACAGGCTTTGAAATGTGAAATAACCAAATGACTACTTAGCTACAAGTGTAAATCCAAAAAGAAAGGGATTTGTAGGAATCCAGGAAGATACAAAACCTTCATCTGTGGTACTCAGTTCTGCTTTGCTCTCAGGGATCTTTTCTCTCCAGTTAACTGTCATTATGCTGCTGTTCAGGTCTCATTAACTTTCTGCAACTCTTATTACTCCTTATCATTTGATTGAAGTCACATGTTCTCCAGACACCATCGCTGCCAATTGAACAATTTATCCATCCACTTCTTCCAAGAGAAGCTCCATCCTGCTCACTCCGCACAAAATGTCTTTATGCGCAGTCTCTCCAAACTCCCTCATTGGCTGAAGAGGCGTTTGCAGAGTCCTGGCTGGTGCTTGAACCTCCACTAAAACTGGCAGCCCAGGAAGTCCAGAACCACAGCCTGCTGTGACATGCGTGTTAGCGTCACCCATGGTTAGTACCCTGCCTTTTATTCAAGCTGCAGCCAGAGGAAAGGGTTGTCCAATGGTTTCTGTTTGGTCTGCTTCATCAGGTGCATCTTCAGTAGTTAGAGTGGTATTGTGGTAGAGCAGCACTCCCTCTAACCATGTTTTGTTACCCACCTGTGACTCCACACTACAGTCCTACCTCAGCATATCTGTTGCCATGAACAATTGTGAGCTGGAGGTTCAGGAAGTAAATGTTAAGTTGTTAATAAACCAAAAACCAGGTAGCTTGAAAGTCCTAGGACTTTGTTTCTAAAGCACAAGCCTTTAAAGTAATTCAGTGTTAGATGTTGTCAGATATATGCAATTTGAAAGAGAAAACACTATATAAAAAAAAGCAAGAATTTGATGTTATATTTTTGTTTCTGAACAGTTCATTTGTTTTGAAAGCTGAATGATATTTTTTTAAACAAAGGAGGAAAAATAAAAGACATGTAATTTTACTGTGAAGATCCTTTTGTGAACGGGTCAGGGTGCTCCTGGACAAAGTCACAGAAGGGCCTGTAGAAGGCCTTTTGCACTAGTATGTGTATTTACAGTGCTACTTGGAGACCAGAGCTACAATGCAGACACTCCATTGTTTGTGTATATGCTGAACCGCGTGCCTATTGCGTGCCTTAGCCCAAGCCACGTTATGTTGTGTTGCATTCCTCACCCGGTGCAGCTCCTATCGCATTTCCCGGAGGCAGTCGCTGGGATGCCAGGAGGAGCTGGGGGCACCGGGGTGCCCGTGAGCTCGGGACAGGGTCTGGCAGGGCTCTGGCCACCGGGGCCCGTGTTACCGGGTACTCCGAGGGCGGGAGGTGTGTCCGCCCGGCACCGCCAGGGGGCTCCTGCGGGACTACCTTTGGTACCCCCCCGACCTCCAGACATGTCCCACAATGCCTCGCGGGCCACCCCCCTTTACGGGACTTCCGGGATAGGACGCTCTGTGTGGCGGCGCAGCTCTATGGTCGCCAAGTGCGGTTGTCTCCGTGCTCGCCCCCTCCGCCTCGCGGTGTCGGCGGCGCTGCGCATGCGCGGGAGGTGGCCGCTCCATAGCAACCGTCGCGGTAACGGTAGCAGTGGCGATGGTGGGTCTTCTCGGTGCCGCGCTGACGGGGGGCGGCCGGGCCGGGGCCGGGGCCGGGGCCGGGGCCTGCTCCTGCTCCGGCATGTGGGCTGGGAATGGAGCTGCTCCCCTGGCGCGGGAGGCGGAAGGGGACGGGGGCTAGCGGCGTCCCCTCAGGGCTGCCCCTGAGCAGCTCCCGCCCCGGCTGTGGCAGAGCAGAGTCCTCCGGGGCCCCCGGCTTTGCCGAGAAGGTGTCGGGCGCCGAGCAGCGGGCACGGCATAAGCTGTCCAGGAGGTATCCAGCGCTCGGGGCGGTGGCTGAGGCGGGGAGTCTTGCGCTGTTACTGTGCATTGAAATGGGGGATTTCAGGGATAGATCAAAGTAGCGGGGAGTCTGGGGTGCCATCGTACGGAAACTGTGTAACATGACTTTAATCTAAATACCTGGAGGAGACTGATCAATGTGCAGGTAGAGAAACCCTGAAAATAGGCTTCTCGGAGGGAGGTTTCCCTCACGTAACCTCCCTTGACAGGCGGTACTATGATTTGTCTAGACATTTTAAGTATGCTTCAAAGCAAACAAAATCCCTGGTACGTTTTCTCTGCATAACCAGCTGTGCTGATCTTCATATTTCCACCAACAGGAGAGACAAGGCAGCAGAGATCAGGGAAGAAGCTGCTCCTTGTACTCACATGGATCATTAGCTATAAAATCTAGTCTGGTGTTAGACATCAGTTTGAAACAGAAGCAGGCACTGGTCTGTCTTCGACGTGAGTGACCAAGATCATGTACCTGAAGGCAGTAACGGTTGGCTACCGTAATTGTGGAAAATGCTGTGATGTGCCTGTCCAAAAACCCCGGTTTACTGGAAGCAGGCTGGGTTTGCTTGCACACTGGTACCTGTTAATCAGCACAGCTGCCTCGACTGTTTTCTTTTATTGTTGGGTCCAGAGTTCCCAGTGGTCTAGAGCTGAGTGACCAGCACTAAAGCTCCATGGCTGAGGTGATTGTCTGTAAGATTTAGGGTGGAAGTTAGTTGTTGGTTTTAACTCTTGCAGTCATTTCTTTGATCTGTGATGACCTGAAAAGCTGCTCCTATCTGCATGTGGTAGTGCTATACTTAAGAACAATAGGGATGTCCAAACTAGAGTCTTCCTGGGTTTGTAGAAGAGAGGCTGTTGATCAGTTTTTGTGAAAGATTGGTCTCTGAAACCTTTTGAATCCAAAAGACATCTTGGAATGTGTTTAATGGTTAGGTTATATCAGAGTTTCTTGATATACGACTGTTTTGGGTATCATTATGTGGTTTTAACGAGACTGGTGTGAGGTAGAAAAGTTGGAGATAGTGATAACAGGAAGTTGGTCAGTGGGTCAGTCCTTAAAAAGCTTTATACAGCAGCTGTGTCCTGAGAAATACATGTTTTCACATCACATTAATATGACTTGACATAAAATGGTTGAAGAAGAACACATATAAACAATCCAGATTGCTCTTGACTATTGGCAAGAGGTACGGTATTTTCCTCAGTGAATCTTGAGAGGCTATATCATTCTGTCTACCACAGATGTGCTTTCAGACGGGAAGTTGCTAATGCACAGCAAGTGTAGGTGTTTAAGAGCATTAGACCACATTTTTCAGTGCAGTAGTGTCTCATGCCATTGAATTGACTTTCACCATCAAAGCTAACAAGCAGCACCCCAAACCCGTGCTCCAGGCAGGGCAGAGAGTGAAATCAGAAAGATAATGTCCTTGCGTGAAACCAATTGGTTGCTTCTGAAAATGCTATCAAGTAGTCCAGAGAATAAAATTATGGGGCACTGAGGAGTTCCAGCTGGAGGAAGGTAATACAGGAAAGGGGTGGGAGGGGATAGACAAGCAGGATGGGGAGAGAAGGGAGAGGAAGTAGTGAACAAAGCAACTGAAAATTTGCAATGAATATTCATTTACTTTTTCATCTTTTAGGCGAAAGCAACAACTATCAGAGAAGCTCTAGCCAAATGGGTAAGTTGTAGAAACAGTATCGAGCTGCTTTGCAGTACTCTCTGGCATGGGGTTTGACTGTTCAGCTCATTGTTTAGTGCCCTCAGTATTTCAGGGTTTTTTCAGTTATGTTTGTATATCCCACAAACTTGACTCCTGCTCTCCTCATAAGGACTAGAATACCACAACTTGCAGACATTAACATTACTAGAGGTGTGAACTCAGTATTAAAAATGTGCTTTTCCCCCTTCACTCTTTCTGCCTTTTCAACTCCATGTTTCCTGGTAAAGATTTATTTTCCGTTTGCTCCTCTGTCACATGTCTCTTAGAGATAATAGACCCGTGTCAGTGAGTTTCCATTGCAGTTAGGCATGAAGTGCTGAATTTGCTTTTCTGATCATGTTGCTGGGGATGGGTCTAAAACCTCCTTTCTGAGGCCGTGTGAAAAATTGGATGTGGTGATGTGTTGCATTACGGATGTTTTCCTTCCCTTTGGCATAAGGGTTTAGCTATGCCCTAGAGTAAAGCTGACATTAGTTAAATCAAAGCAGCTTTAACTTTAAACCAAAGCAACTTTAACTTACCATGTTCTTAAAGAAGTGTCTGTTCTGTCTGTGGTTTCTCCATGCCTTTTTGTGGTTTTTCAGCTGACCTTTCTTCCAGAAGCACGTGACAGTTGGGATGAAGTTTCCTCCTGCTGGCCACAGTGCATTGGAAGCTCTCTCCTTTTCATGTTTTTAAGGAAAAAAAAAAGAATTAGTTGTTGGTATAAACTGAGTATAAATGCAAATAGATTCAGTGTTGTTCTTAGAAAAGAAAATGCAAGTTTCACATTTATGAAGTGACTTAATTTGAACGCATCCACCATACTGTAGCAAAATATCTGACATGCTTATTTGCTAAATGGTTAATTTTGAGTAAAAATTAACACACTAGATTTGGATAGAAACTGGAATACAAGTAAATGCCCAAGCCAATATGCTAATATCTTTTTTTTTTTATTAAGTTGCCCAAAGTATTTTGAATGCATAAGAGAGACAATAATGTTGTCGAAACCTTCTCTTGTGCTCTGAGATTCTTAAAGACTTCTGGGATGCAATGCATTTCATTGCAAAGTAGCCGTATAAACCAGGCCAGAGCTCAGCTTTGGCTTTTCAGTAGCTGCATAAAAGTGGGGGAGAAAACAAGAGCCCTTGTTTTGAAAGCGCCGGGTAGATTTCTCCTTTGTTAATGGACCTCCAGTCCTCCCACTGAACACTGGACAAAATGCTCCCTTTGTGCTGTCAGGGAGGCAGCTGTCAAAACTGGTGGCACTACCTCAGGAGATACTTGTTCCAAGTGTTGAGTCAATAATTACCATTGCTTCAGAATTTTAAAAGATTTAATAGACTATAGTTTTTAATAAACCCAAATGCTGAAGTTATGGTGGTTTTTTTCTGAAGCTCTGAACTTTATAAAGTATTTAGTCTAGAAAGTTATTAACGTAGGTTGTAAGTAGGAAATCTGCCTTTTGCTGTGTTCTCCAAAGTGTGAAATCCACTCTTTAATGGCTAAGTAGAAATATATTTTTTATTTCTGATTCTTAACTCTGTGAATCTGTTGAGGTTCTCCACCAAAACGCACTCCCCTATGTTCAGTTTGTGCTGTGAGTTAGGTCTGAGTTCTGAGTTTCTGAGTGATTTTTTTCTGTCAAAGCTTTTAAAAATCTGTGCTACAGATCAGCCCTTGCCAAGACTTCTGTGTGTCCGTCTCCATGGAAGTACCATTATTCCCAGTGTTAGATCTCCATCTATTCTTCATTTCTTTACAGCTTAGGACCCCTTAATTAAATTGCTCCAGCATAACACAGCTTTCAAAAAAAAGCATGTGTAATGTGCAAGTTCTTTTCGTATATTGAAAAGAAGCTGCCTTCCCCTTTTTATGCTATGCCAGCAGGAATCTTGATAAATGGTATTCAAAATGCTTTCTCTTTCCAGTAATATCTTTTAGTACTATATTGGCATTATTTCTATAGTGATTACTTTTACAGTAAGTTTTTAGTATAGTAATTTTTAGTAATTACATGTAGCACTGAGCCTCTTCTTTATGTTCTCTCTTCTTTAGGAAGAAAAAAATGGCCAGAAGGCTTCAGAGGCAAAGGAGGTGAAGCTGTATGGTCAGATTCCTCCTGTAGAGAAGATGGATGAATCTCTCTCCATGCTTGTTAACTGCGAGTAAGATCAGTTAATTGGAAACCAAATATTGAGTTAATTGGAAACCAAATACTCTCTTCTCTTTATATGAATTTTCTATTTTTTCTGATGTCCACTGTGCAAATACGTATTTACTGTGTTTAAGTGTAGCCTTCAAAGCAGCAGCAATCTCCTTTGTTTCCTCAGCTGAGCTTGTCTTTCCACGTACAAAAAAAGTT